AATTGAACTGGTAAGTAATATAGATTTAAAATCTAATATTTCTCACTTTAACTTGATATTTTTTTATTGTTTTATATTTTTTATATTTAAAAATTCAATAATTTTCTAAATTGAAATAGATCTAGAATATTCTGATCAGCAAATTCTATACTATATTAAGAAATGATCATTATAACATATTTGGTAAATTCCCAGACTGTAATATATAAAATATCATAAGCGAAAAAAAAATTAATTTCTTTAGATTAATTGCAACAAATTAAAAATCATCAAATATCAATTAAAAAATTAGTTTTTTATGAAATGGCTAAATTAATTTGATTATTTTGCTTTGATAAGTGTGAAATTTTAACAGCATGAAATTTTAAAATTAATATGAGCTAATTTTATTAGAATATATATTCATCAAAAAAAGTGTAAATAAAAAGACAAAAATACAAATACTGAAGTAATACAAATATAAATTTATTCTAAATTAAATTTATCATCTGAAGTGAATAAATGCTTTACCTCTTGCAATATGTCTAATAATTCACTTCATTTTTTTGATTTCAATCCAAGATATTTTCTTCTAATATTTTCACCTAGTTGTTCAAAAAAAGTTTTGATCTTTAATAAAATTTCTACTTTATTTATATTTTTTTTATTCTCTTATGTATCTGCTTTTTGTTTTGTAATCAGTATTGGCCTAAAAAAAGAAGATGGTTTTTTGTTAATAAATGTTTCAATAAAATTTTGTCGATATTGTTTTGCAATATATGTGAAATTTTTTAAATGTTCAGTTAACTCATATTTCTTCTTTTAGGCTTTGACAAATGGTCTGTATATTTTCTAAATTCACAAATTCAAGACTTCGCAAAAGAGTTTGAAATCTTTGGCATTTTATGGTTGATTCTGGTCAAGTTCTTAATCCTAATTGCTGGTGATCATTATATCCAATTGCTTTAAATAAATTATTTCTAAGCTAAAATAAACAATTAGTATCTACGTATATATAAAATTGGTTTAATTTAAAATTAAAAAATTCACTTCAAAGAACTTTTTACAATTACGTGCTGCAATCTTCTAATGATAATGTTGTAGAATAGTAGGTATTAAGTTTTTAAGGTTTTGTTCACCTCCTCCATAATTGTGTCTAACTCTTAGTGCTGTTCTTAAATACCTGATCGAAAAACAACACAATTTTTTTCTATTATATTTTGCATTTCTGGATGAAGTTGTATCAACTGAATTTCATCAGAAATATCTATTAGGTGATAAATGGGATGATGCCTTACAAACCAAGTAGAAGAAAAAGTTCTTTTAGCAGCTTTTTTTAAAAAAAGGATCATTAGTTCTTATGGCTTTTCAATAATTAATTATCGCTTAAAGGTAAACAAATGTCTTATTAAAAAATAAGTTAGTATTAATTTAAAAAATAATAATTAAAAAAAAAAATCAATTAATAGTGACCTATTTATATTTTATTTTGATAAAGCAGATCTTGCTGTTCTTTAACCCATGTAAGATATCCTTCGATAGATGAGTCAGAATGACTTTTTATATACAGTTATAAAAGCTCCATAGCTATTGCTTGACGATATATACCACAAATTGAATCCCAAGACTTATGATGATCTATACATTTTTTGAAATAGGCAAACTGATTTTCAGTCCAATAACCTTGACATATTACAAACTGTTTCAAATCGATTTTCCTAATGTATAAAAAAATATCTAGTAATGTTAAAGTGAGAAATATTAGATTTTAAATCTATATTACTTACCAGTTCAATTCTACATATACTCAAAGCATATTCATTTCTTCATGTAATTGTCCTGGTATAAGAATTAACCAGGGAAACTTTTTCCTCAACTTGGTAGCATGATAGTACAGAACATCATCATAGGTGATAATAATCTACTTGCAAGTTTCATTCTTAATACCTGATATTATTTCTATATGTAAAAGTACCTTTTCAACATTTATAATTGAATTAGGATTAACGTTAATAGGATCAGAAATGTAAATCTCAGGAATATTAACTCTCAGATTAGTAACTTTTTGTTTAGTAAGACTGATTCTAGGAATGTACATGACACTTTATTCATTGTCAATATTATAAGGTTTAAAGATAAGTGGGTTGTTTAATTAATCAATTATAATATTTTCAACCTTAATTTCTTTTTAGATTTCGGCTAATATTAGTAATAGCATTTTGCATCCTGAACATACCTTTTTTCGATTCTTAATATTTTGTTAACCACAGCTGAGACAAAATTTTATATTAGTAATATTAGTTATTATAGATATTACAAGAGAATCGATAATATTAGTAGAGGATAATTTTTCTTAGATAACAAATTAAGAATTTCAAAGAGGTAAGTATATAGTTTCTTGTCAATTATTTCTTATATTTGAGGGCCGATGTCAAAGAGTTCTTCATACTGTAACCTAGAAAGAAACTGATACAACTAAGGTAAATTAGTATGTTGAATTCTATTTTGTGATGCCATATTGAAAGTAATGAAACTAGTAACAATATGGTAAATGACTGTATTGGATTCTCGATCGAGATAGTTCTTCTATCCTTTTGTTCATTATTAAATGTGAGGACTAGAAGATCTCAGGTAATAGTTCTTTATACTTTGATAATTCATCCAGCTACTTTTAAAATCAATAATAGCTTTTTGAACTTGTAATATGATTATTGATATTAATAACCAGTTTTGATTGTGCAATCAAATATTTAATAGCTGAAGCAGCAAGTTGAATTTCTGACACATATTTTCCATGTTATACCCTATATATCAAATTGATCATGATGACAGTTTTAAAAAGCTTTTTCTGACTTAAAATGTCAGAGTTAGAGACTGGACTCGTATTTGTATAACTTAAGTCAACTCGAGTTAAATTTTGATTTAAGTCAAAATTTCATAGACTCAAATCTTAATTCGAGTAAGAATTTGAGTAGACTCTAATTATATATACTCGAGTTCACTACTCAAATTTTTACTTGAATTAACGATTTGAATTACTCAAGTGCATTCTACACTTAAGATATTAACATTTATAAAAATTAGTTATGCAGTAATTTTTAATAATTAATTGAAAAAGAGTAGTAATTCAAATCTTTAGAATTTAGAAAATAAATTTATAATTATATAAAATATATTTATAAAATAATTATTTTTTTACATTAAAAAATCAATACCAGGTATTTTTGTTCAAATTTCATATTGTAATTAATAAAATAAAGGTAAATTACAGGTTATTTCAAAATTTCGATACTATTATGCATGCAAACTGAAAAATCGATCTAATATTTATGGTTTAAAATTAAAGAATGAAATTTAATTATTTATATTTGTCTTAAAGAATTCCAAAGCAATTAACTAATTTAAATACAAAAGATTTATCATGTACAACTTTAATTTGTTTATCTGAAATAAAAATAATATTATGAATTATCGTACTGAAATTTTTACATTGGCAATTTAGCCTTATTAATTTCAATTAAATAAATATTTTATAAAATCGGAAAATCCTAATTAAAAATTAGTTAAAATAACATCTGATAAATAATAAATGATCTTTGGTCTTTCTAACTTCTTCAAGAATAATGAGCAGTTATGCAGAACCTTCAAACTTAAATAGAAAACATTCCTCTAAAAATTTTGATAATGATGAATATATTTATATTCCAAGTGAAAATGAAAGAACTAAAGAGGAATATGAGGAGCAAGAGGGATTAAAGTGTTTAGATACTGAATTACTTCAACTTCCTTCTAAATTATAACATTTTAATAAAAAAAATCAACAAAAAAAGTAAAAAGACGAATAAAAGCAACAGCTAATATAAGGAAAAAAGTTGTACAATAGGAACAAGAGAAAGCATATAATAAAGATGAAAAAAATAAAAGTGATATTATTATTGCTACAAATTTAATACCTGAAAGTGAAATACCAAAAGGAAGTAGTTTTGTGTGGCATTACTTTCGTCATTCAGAAAACTTAATTACATTTATATGTGCTATTATTATGCATGATAGTAAAGAATGTGACATTTCTTATAATGATAGTTCTACAACATCAAATTTAATTAGTCATCTTGTATAAATTCATAAGGTATATAAACTAAATGAGAAAAAATAGATAATGAAAAATCTTTAAACCAATTAGATATACGAGATGCAATTAAAAATCAATGATTAAAAAAAGAAGAAGATTATGAAGAATTTTGTCAATTATTAGTAGAATTCATTTTGGATAATAATCAAGCATTTAATATTCTAAATTGCAAAAGTTTTCATAATTTGCTATATTCTTTTGATAAGAATTTTATTGTTTCTTGTGATAAAACAATTAAAACTATGATTGGTAAGCTTATATATAGAGTTGTATACAACTTAATGAGTTATTAAAAAGTGATTGTATTGCTACCTCTATAATCACAAATTTTTGAACAAGTAGAGTAAAATAAGGATATATTAATGTAATATGTTCTTGAATATCAATAGATTGGAAACCTAAGGAAGTACTTTTAGAACTGAAACAGATTACATATCCTCATACTGGAGAAATTATATCATAACTTTTAATAGAAATTTTTGAAAAATAGAATTTAACTAAAATAATAATTACATTAATAACTTATAATAGTCTGAATTTTAAAAAAGTTGCTTAAATAATGGAAAATATTAATCACTTACCATGTGTTGCCCATACATTACAATTGATAGTTAGTAAAGAATTAAATATTATTAGAGTACTTATTTTATGAGTTAAGCGGCTTATTGATTTTTTTTATATATTACCTAAACAATCAGAAAGATTAAATGCAACACAAAGGGAACTTAATTATACAAATATTTCTTTGGTAACTGGAGATGTTTCTACTTGGTGGAATTCTTTATTTTATGTCTGAAAAAGGTTAATAAAGCTCAAACATGCAATCATTTTTCTACCCAGTCGTTTATAATCTGATCTTAATCTAGATGCTAAAAAAGATAGTCAAAAATTACAATGAATAATGCTTACAAAAGATGAATGGAAACTATTAGGTGATCTTATTAATTTATTACAAGGATTTGAAGAAGTAACAGTATTGCTTAGTGGATCTAAATATATTATAATATCACTTATGTATCCTGCTATATCTCGATTTATATCTGAAATTTAACCAAATAATGAATCTTTAATTATTGAAATTGAAGGTGAATTGGATGATGATGAAACTAGTCTATTTGAAAATATAGAAAAAGTTATAGAAGATAATGAGGATTTTGTTGAAATTTCTAATAAAAATAGTAAAAATAAAAATAAAGTAGATATTTCTAAGCCTTTAAACTTTCAAAATAGAAATTATATTAAAGAAATAAAACAAACAACATATAAGAGTATGTTGAAATATTGGAAAACATCTGAAACTGTTACTATGATAGCCTGTATATTAGATCTGCGATTTAAAAATTTATGATTTACAATTGAGTTAACAAAGAATATTGTGTATAAAGAACTTCATAATATTTTTAAAGATGAAGAAGATGCTATAAAAGAAGTAATTATAATATTTACTTAAAACTAATTTTTATTTTAAAATAATAAATATTAACATATTATATTTTTTAATATAATAATAGAATCATGAGAATAATGAACTATTTTTATCTTTAATATCACGATCTATATCTAAAATTTACTTCGATACAGAAACAATTGAAGGCAATGAAGATAATGATGAAGTATATAAAAAAAGAAAATTATTTTTAGATGACATTTATGCTAAATCAAATGAATTGAGTAAAAACAAAAATGAATTAAATAATTATTTATCTTTAGAAGAGAAAGGGAAGGATACTGATCCATTTGACTGATGGAAACTAAAACAATCACATTTTCTAATATTATCAACACTTGCATATAAATATTTGGAAATTTGTCTAACATTAGTTCCATTTGAAAGATTGTTTTTAGATGTAGAAAATAATATAATAGCAATAAGGTCAAATCTTAAACCAGAGTTAGTAGGTGAAATGTTATTTTTAAAAAGAAATATGAATCTTTTTGATAGTAATTTTTTACCAGAAAATAGATAATCGAGCAATATAATTAATATTTCTTTTGGTAAAAATTAATAAAATTTATTAAAATTTCTGAAAAGTCAAAAATTTCATATATTAATAAAATTGTTACAGTATTTTGATCGTTATTGTAAATCATATTTATTGATAATTTGAATAGAAACTAACATTGCATAATTATAAAAATTTATTTTTATTTTATAATGCTTATTTTGTCTATTAATTATTTATTTGTTAAAATGTCATACGAATATTTAAATTTAACATGATGAGATATAATAATATTTACAATTATTCGTAAGAATAAAAATAGGGATAAAAAAATATTATTAGATATGCTGTTAATAATATTATAGTCATTAAATTTCTAAATTAAATAGCTGTCTCATGAAAAAAATTAAACTCAAGTTAATACTTGAATGCACAGTATTCGAATGCTAATTTGAGTTAGATACTCGAATTCTATACTCAAATTTTGATTTGAATTCTGACTCGAGTACTCTTTGAGTCAAAAGAATTCTTGACTCTACTTGACTCGAGTAATTTTTTTTGACTTGAGTCTAATGACTAATCAGAGTCTTAATTATTCTAAATTAGAATTTCAATAAATTTAACAGCAACCTGATTACGCCTATTAAGCCATTTATGCAGATTATATACCATAAGATTTTCTAGAGAAAACCTATCACTATCTCGGATTAGTAAACTTACATCTTCAAATAATAGTTCGCATTCTGCTTTTGCTATTTCTATAATTGCATTAATACATTTGTTTTAGCTATAAAATCGTGAATTCCACTGCTTAACTAGAGTTTTATTGCTTTCACATTACTTTTCATACAAATTTTGCATAATATTCATATCATTATAGGCTTTTTGCAATTTTTTTTTTAATTCTTTTACTTCATCTTTTTGATCTTTTAAATACTAATGCATCCGTTTGATTTGATTATTGAGTTTATTATTAATTATATTTTCTGCTGATTTTCTAACTGAATGGATTCTAAAAGTTTTTTAGTCCTATCAAGCTCAACTATTATGTTAGTATAATCATTATCTTGATTAGCATCAAGTTAGGATCTTTTGCTTTTTTAAACAAAACCTACTAGATGTTGATAAAACTGATTAGTTGAAATGATTTGATTATAATATTTCTCACAAATTGAATAGGATTCTAAAGGATAAAAATTAGCAAGTTCAGGAAAAAAATCATGATAAAGTATAAGTCACTTAGCTGCTTTCTGACTGCTCGCATGCCGTCATTTTGTGATACTTTAGATTCACAAGGCTTTAACCTGACTTCATTATATTTTTCAACTAAATCTACGAAAATGAATAAAAGATCTTTCGCTCTTAGTTTTTGGTAAGAAGATAATATAGAAGGGTTAATTTAAAGTTAATAAAATTACATTTTTTTTATTACTTCTTACTTAATAACATATAAGGAAAATCCTTAATCTTTAGGTCTCATTTACTTTTTCAAAAATAGTTAGCTATAAGGGATTATTTGAGATTATTGAAATTAGATATTTTATATTATCTATTTGTATATTTTTTATTAATACATTAATACATGTAATATAGTCTGAGAATATACCAAATTAGAAAATTAAGTTCTAGAATAATCTATAAGTAGATTCGTAGATTTGATTAGCTCAGATACTTTTTTTTCGTCTATGATATTTTATATATTATATATATTAATGTTAAAGATGGTCCCCATAATTATTTTCAAATTTCAATTGAGTTGCAACTTAATTGCGCCATAAGGAAATTTAATTGCGCCACAAGTTGCAACTCAATTGCACCATTTTTTTTAATTGTGGTGACCATCTTTAATTAATGTATTAATAAAAAATATATAAATAGATAGTATAAAATATTTAATTTTAATAATCCTAAATAATCCTTTATAGCTAACTGTTTTTGAAAAAGTAAATGAAACCTAAAGATTAAGGATTTTCCTTATATGTTGCTAAATAAAAAGTAATAAAAAGAATGCAATTTTATTAACTTTAAATTAATCCTTCTGTAGTGTCTTCTTACTAGAAACTAAGAGTGAAAGATCTTTTATGTATTTTCGCAGATTTAGTTGAAAAATATAATGAAGTCAGGTTAAAGCTTTGTGAATCTAAAGAATCACAAAAATAGCAGCATGCAAGCAGTCAGGAAGCAGCTAAGTTACTTATACTTTATCATAATTTTTTTTTCTAAACTTGCTAATTTTTATCCTTTAGAATTCTATTCAATTTATAAGAAACATTATAATCAAATCATTTCAACTAATCAGTTTTATCAATATCTAGTAGGTTTTGTTCAAAAAAGCAAAAGATCCTGACTTAATTCTAATCAAGATAATGATTATACTAACATAATGGTTGAGCTTAACAGGACTAAAAAGCTTTTAGAATCCATTTAGTTAGAAAATCAGTAGAAAATACAATCAATAATAGAACTTAACAATCAAATCGAACGGATGCATCAGTATTTAAAAAATCAAAAAAATGAAGTAAAAGAATTAAAAAAGAAATTGCAAAAAGTCTATAATGATATGAATATGATGTAAAATTTGTATGAAAAGTAATATGAAAGCAATAAAACTCTAGTTGAGCAGTGGAATTTACGATTTGATAGCTAAAACAAATGTATCAGTGCAATTATAGAAATAGCAAAAGTAGAATGCAAACTATTATTTGAAGATGTAAGTTTACTGATCTGAGATAGTGATAGATTTTCTCTGAAAAATCTTATAGTATATAATCTGCGTGAATGGCTCGATAGGTGTAATCAGATTGCTGTTAAATTTATTAAAATTCTAATTCAGAATAATCAAGACTCTAACGTTTTAAGTCAGAAAAAGCTTTTTAAAACTGCTATCATGATCGATTCAGTATATGGGACATAACATGAAAAATACATATCAGAAATTCAACTTTTTGCTTCAACTATTAAATATTCGATTGTATGATCAAAACTGGTTATTAATATCAATAATCATATTACAAGTTTAGAAAGCTATTATCAATTTCAAAAGTGGCTGAATGAATTATCAAAGTATGAAAAACTATTACCTGAAGGTCTTCTAGTCTTCGCATTTGATAATGAACAAAAAGAATAGAAGAACTATCTCGATCGAGGATCTAATATGATCATTTACCATATTGTTACCAGTTTTATTGCTTTTAATATGGTATTATAAAATAGAATTCAATATACTAATTTACCTTAGTTATTTCAGTCTCTTTTTAGGTTACAGTATGAAGAACTCTTTGACATCGACCCTCAAATACAAGAAATAATTGTCAAGGAACTATATACTTACCTCTTCAAAATTCTTAATTTGTTATCTAAAGAAAAATCATCTTCTACTAATATTATCAATTCTCTTATAATATCTACAACAACTAATATTATTAATATAAAATTTTGTCTCAGCTGCGGTCAACAAAATATTGAAAATCGAAAAAAGGTATATCTAGGATGCAAAATGCTATTACCAATATTAGCCGAAATCCAAAAAGAAACTAAGGTCAAAAATATTACAATTGATCAATTAAACAATTTATTTACCTTTAAACCTTACAATATTAATGATGAATAAAATGTCACGTGTATTTCTAGGATCAGTCTTACTCAACAAAAAGTTACTTATCTGAGAGTTAATATTCCTGAAATTTACATTTCTGATTCTATTAACATTAATCTTAACTCAATTATAAATGTTGAAAAGGTACTTTCACATATAAAAACAATATTAGGCATTAAGGATAAAACTCGTAAGTGGATCATTGTCACCTGTGATGATGTTTTATACCATCATACTATCAAGTTGAGAGAAAAGTTTTCTGGTTAGTTCTTATACCAGAACAATTATATGAAGAAATGAATATGCTTTGAGCATATGTAAAGTTGAACTGGTAAGTAATATAGATTTAAAATCTAATATTTCTCACTTTAAAATTACTAAATATTTTTTTATATATTAAAGAAATTGAAATGGTTTGCAATATGCCAAGATTATCAGATTGAAAATCAGCTTGCTTATTTCAAAAAATATATAGATCATCATAAGTCTTAAGATTTGATTTGTGGCATATATTATTAAACAATGGCTATAAAACTTTTATGATTGCATGTAAAAAGCCATTCTGATCTATCTATTGAAAGATATCTTACATGGGTTAAAGAATAGCAAGATCTGCTTTATCAAATAAAATATGAATAAGTCACTATTAATTGATATTTTTTTTTAATTATTATTTTTTAAATTAATACTAACTTATTTTTTAATAAGACATTTGTTTACCTTCAAGCAATAATTAATTATCGAAAAGCCATAAGAACTAATAATCCTTTTTTAAAAAGGGCTGCTAAAAGAATTTTTTCTTCTATTTGGTCTACAAAGCATCATCCTATTTATCACCTAATAGATATTTCTGATGAAATTCAGTTGATGCAACTTCATTCAGAAATGTGAAATATAATAGAGAAAAATTGTGTTATTTTTTGATCAGGTATTTATGAATAGCATTAAGGGTTAGACTAAAGATGGTCACCATAATTAAAAAAATGGCGCAATTGAGTTGCAACTTGTGACGCAATTAAATTTTCTTATGACACAATTAAATTGCAACTCAATTAAAATTTGAAAATAATTATGAGGATCATCTTTAGGTTAAACGCAATTATAGAAGAGGTTAACAAGACCTTAAAAACTTTAATACCTTCTATTTCACAATATTATCATTAGAAGATTGTAACACGTAATTGTAAAAAGTTCTTTAAGGTAAATT